TGGGGCACGAAACCTTCCTAGGAGGTCCCAGGAGGTCCCAAGAGGCTCCTGGAGACCCCAGGAAGCCCCAGTAGGTTTCAGGAGGCCCCAGGAGGCCCCAGGCTCATGCACAGAGACGCGCTCGTACTACTGAGGCTCATTCACACTCCTATTCATTCGCAGTTAGATTGATGTCCAGACCGTCACAACTGAAGCCCGTTAATATTCGAAAGCTCTTGCGCCTAGACATTCACGGCGGACAGGTCCATGCGAGTAGATGCACAGATGGGGAGCTCCACGCAGTGAATAATTTCCCAGGCCTCCAGGACTCTGGCTCCTCAGGGACGGTCGCCAGCGTTTTCTGCGGAAATTTGCGCGACCCGTTTTTGTCGCTAGCCTAGCAGGGGTTGGGATGGGTCTGTGTCCAGGCTTCTCCAGACAATCAGCGTGCTGAGGCTATTTTCGCCGGCTCCTTGCAGCACCCTGCAACAGACGTTGATGCCCTCGATCTTTGGGCCCTGCTGCAAGGTCTAGGTTGTTTTGTTTTGCCAGGCACCACTTTCTACGGCGGCTCAGAATATCTCGTGGCTGGCGTTTTGGTGAGAGGGCCCGAGAGCACCTGCCCCGCTCGCGGTGCGTGGGCAGAGCTCTGGCGCATGCCGTGGCAAAAGACCTCGGACTGGTGCGGGGGATGGAGGGTTTCTCTCTGGTCAAAGTCAACTGGCACGCCACATGCGCTTCAGCCGAGTCAGACCAGTTTGGTCTTCCCCTGGAAGTTGGCGACAGCCTGGCCGACCAGTATGCTAAGCAGGCCTCTGATTTCTCGCGTCTCCCGACCCCTCTCCGTGTCCACTTCGGGAAAAAGGCCCGAGCTCTTGTGGAGTACGCCGCCTGGGTTGCCACAGTTGGGCCGCCCATGGTGGCCATGGGCCCCGCCCATGTAGCACAGAAGCGTGAGGCGAAACACCGTGTCCCCACGCTTTCTGTCCTGCCGCCCGAGCCCCTCGCCACCCCTCGCAGCTTGCTTTCATCTGACCTTGGGCACGATAGGGTGGGCATCTGAGGCGGCAGGCTCCATATTTGCCACCCGTTCAAGCTCGCAGACACAGGGCAGTGGTGTTTCGCCTGTGCCGTCTGCGGCGCCAGTGTGTGGTCCAAGCACTGTCCCAGCTCTGTGTCTTTCCTGCCCAGGGCCTCCTCTCCCGCCCTCTTGGGGCTGGGGTGCGTTGAAAGGTCTGGCCCTGGGCAGGTACCAGATTCACAAGACGTGGCATCTCGTTGTTCAGCCCTGGGGCACCGCCAGTGTTGAGCGCGCGGGAGGTGCCGCCCCTGTCGCCCGTCTTTCTGGCGTGGCAGCGGCGGCCATCCCTCACCGCGGAGACAGCGACACTGATTAGGCTTTAGGAGCCTGCTCCTTATTTGTCTGGTCAGTTGGTGGGGTCGGGTGTCGGGTCCTGTTCTGGGGTTGCCCCGAGTCAGTACCCACCCCGCCCTACCCTGTGGTGTCTGGCTGCTCCAAAGTTGGGCGGGTGCTGGGGCCGCGGCAGAAGGAAGAGGAGGAGGAGGAGGAGGAGGAGGAGGAGGAGGAGGAGGAGGAGGAGGAGGGAGAGGAGGAGGAGGGGGAGGGGGAGGAGGAAGGGAGGAGGAGAGGGAGGAGGGGGAGGAGGAGGAGGAGGATGAGAAGGGGGAGAAGGGGGAGAAGGAGGAGGATGATGAGGAGGAGGAAGAGGAAGAGGAGGAGGAGGAGGAACGCAAAACTCCCGACGTCATGCTGTTTCCACAACGCAGGCTCCAGGCATCTCGACCCTGTCCCCGGAAGACTGGCTCCTCTTTCATCTGGAGTAGTATTGTGGACATTTACGGGCCCTGCGAGGGCCCCAGGAGGCCGAACATGGCAAACCTCTGTCGGTCGCAGTGCTTTCGCGGCGCGAGGAGGTGGGGAAGGGCGGGTCTCCGCCGCGCGGAAGTCCCTCATCCCCATCGCCTCGCTGTGCGCCATCGTGCTCGAGTCGAGATCTCATCGCCCCTCTCCCCGAATCGTTTCTCGCCCCTCCCCCCACCCCGAGCTTCCATCGGGGACCATACAATGACATAGACATAGTTGTCGGAGGTCCGCGCGGGTTTCTCGGATCTGCGCTGGAACCCCAGGGGGGGCTCAGGCGCCGCCCTGCGCGCCAGGGAGGGGTGTCCAGCTTCGATCTAAGAAATAAATCCGCGCGGATCTCCGAAAGGTCAAGTCTATGTCATTGTTTGTGCCTCGATTCCAGCACCGCTTGCGCGGACACTGGTCGTGGGGCCCGCGGGCGGGTCGGTTAAGAGAGGGGGGCAGGGAAAGCGAGCGGGTACGAAAATTGCTGCATGCAGCTGTTTTCGGTCCCGACGCCTGGTATTTTTTCTAGAGCGATCCCCGCCCGAGAACGCCGGGTGGGATCTCCAGGAAGCAGCGGCTCCTTGAGGCTCCTGGCGGGCGCGGCATGCAGTCTTCATGGCTCTAACTGCGAGGTGAGCTGCCCAGGGATCACCAGGACCCTTGTGGCCTGGCGGCCGCGGTCTGCCGGGTGTGCGGGGCGGGTCGGGACATCTCCTCTCTGAGTCCAACAACCCCAGCGTGATTATGCAGATGATTCACCTTTCGCCCAATTCGAGGGGGGTAAGTGAAAAGCAGGGGGACGGCATCGCTTTCAGCGCCTTGCCGCAATGCTACGTTCTCTTTTGGCGGCCCGCCACCCTGCCGTGGGGTTATGATGTCCCAATCTATTTCAGCCTTGACCACCAGAAAGAATATCGAGCACCAAGAATCTTGAGGGTTTTCACGTGACGGGCCCTGGAGGCGATACTCGCTCGACACTCTTTCGATATTTCTCTAGGTGCTCAAGATTATTTCTGGGATGTGGTCCTTGAGTTCGATGTGAGGAACATTACCTTGGGGGCCCTCTCCCAGCTTCGAGGTTCGAGCATCGGATATTGAGATTGTCGATCGGCTCTCATACTTTTTATGGGGCCTCCGGAAGGCTCCTCGTCGCCGCGGCTGGATTCCCTTCGACGTTCTTGCCAGAACGCCTCCCGGGAAAGACTCCGAGGGTGGATCTTTCGACCCTCGAAACCCGGACCCCCCCCCTAGCCATCCCAAGGCCTCACCCAAGCCAAGGCGGACGTGCTCCGCCGGCTTCGGCATCCGGGGGCCAGCGTCAGCCTCCAGGACCGTCCGGCACCTGCGTGGCCCCTGCGGGCGCAGGCGAATTCGGGCGTCGGGCGAGCACCACGGCGGGGCGCACCGCAGCAGACGGAGGCACGCGAGCGCGGGAGGGCCGGAGGGGCGAAAGCCAGAGAGGCCGGTCCGAGCATGCCGGTCTTCACGGGCAGGCCGGAGCCGTGCAGCCACGAGCGGGACCGTCGAAGACAGATTGTGCACCGAGCTTGCGGCGGGGCGCACCGAAGCAAATGGAGGCACGAAAGCGCGGGGGGACTGGAGGGGCTGAAGCAGAAGAGGCTGATCAGAACATGCAGTTCTTCACGGGCGTGCTGGAGGTGTGCAGCCACGAACGGGACCGTCCAAAATGATGTATATTCTGCACGGGAGAACGGCTCGGGATATCGGGGGGCATCATCTCTGACAGGCCCAGGCTTCGGACGCCCACGGCGGAGGAGACCGACTAGCAGCAGGTTGTTGGCGCCACGCAAACATGTGAGCAAATGACTTGAAAACGCCCAGGGGGGTCCCGGCACCCCACTGTCCAGGCAACGATTAGACATGTTCCCTGGCTCAGGAAACTATTTCTTTAATCGTCCCCCCCCCCCGCGCCCCTCGGGCATGGGCCACGGCGGCCGACGGAGCGAACTGGCGTGACCGGGGGGAGGAGGAGGAGGAGGAGGAGGAGGAGGAGGAGGAGGAGGAGGAGGAGGAGGAGGAGGAGGGGGAGGAGAAAGGAGGAGGAGAAGGAGGAGGAGGTTGAGGAGGAGGAGGAGGAGGCGGGGCACGGAGTCGCATCATTTTCTCTCGCTCTCGCTCTCGCTTTCTCTCTCTCTCTCTGTCTTTCTGTTTCACTTCCTGTATATACACATATATACATATACACCTATATTACCATATACAGGCCCTGCTGTATCCCCGCCCCATCCTATCCGCAAACGGCGACGTCGTCGCACCCTGGCGCCGTCGTCGCAGCAAAGGGGGCGACGTCGTCGCACTCTGGCGCCGCCGTCGCACCCATCCGCAAAGAGCGCCCGTCGTCGCACCCTGGCGCCGTCGTCGTCGCCCCCCCCCTACCTCCGATGTATCCGCAGAAGCCGCCGTCGTCGTCCCCCCCCCCTTCCCTACCTCCTATCCGCAGAGGGCGCCAGAGGGCGCCGTCGTCGCACGCCGCCGCCGCCGCCGTCGCACCCCACCCTTCGCACGTCGCATCCGCGAAGAGTGCCCGTCGTCGCACCCTTGCGCTGTCGTCGCACCAACCCCCCTCCCCCGCTCCTACCTCCCATCCGAAAAGGCCGCTGTCGTCGCCCCCCCCCTCCCCCCCTACGTCCCATCCGCAAGTGACGCCGTCCCCCCCTCCCCCCTTGCGTCCTATCCGCACGTGGCGCCAGAGGGGAGCGCCGTCGTCGTATCCCGCCGTCGCCGCTTCACCCCCCCCCCTCCACCCCCTACCCCCCATCCGCGCCAACGACGCTGTCGTCGTCCCCCCCCCCCCTCCGTACGTCCTATCCGCAGAAGGCGCCAGAGGCCTCAGTCGTCGCACCCCGCCGCCGCCGTCGTCCCCCGTCCCCCCCCCAAACGTCCCATCCGCAAAGAGCGCCCGTCGTCGCAGCCTGGCGCCGTCGTCGTCGCACCCCCCTCCCCCCCCCATCCCCCCTTCACCTCCCTGTTTCCATCCACGCAAAGGACGCTGTCGCCCCCCCACTCCCCGCCCCCCTTGCGTCCTCCTATCCGCAAAAGGCGCCAGAGGCCGCCGCCGTCGCACCCCGCCGGCGTCGGCGCGCCACCGGGCCGCCGTCCGTCGTCAGACCGCGCGCGCGCGCGCCCGCAGGGCAGCCGCTGGCGTCCCCGCGCAGCTCGCGCAGCTCGCACGCGTCGCCCCGCGCGTCGCCCCGCGTGTCGCTGGTGCCCGCCGAGGGCGGCGACCACGCCGCCGCAGCGCCCGCCTTGGCCGCGGAGCAGCGGCTGGCGTCCGCCCCGCAGCCGCGGCGGTCCTTCCGCGCTTCGCTGGTGCCCACCGCCGACGGCGGCGTCTCGCAGAGCCTGGCAGCCGCGGCGCCCGCGCCGTCGCGGCGGGCGGTCTCCAAGAACGTCCTGCAGGCTCGGAGGAGGATAAAAAGTCTGTTCTCTGGGAATGGGTCCAAGACCTCTGGGGTGTCCACGTCACGAACAATCACGACGTCGGGGGTCTAGGCGGGCCCAGCCGGCGGTCCCCTCCTCATGGCCTCAGAAGCCAGGGCATCCCACACCTGATTCGTATTGCACTCTCGAGCCCGTGACGCACTTCCAGTGTGCGTGTCAACGGTTTGCCCTCTGCTGGGGCTCGTCAGGACTCGAGTGATAATGGCAGCGGCACGCGAGTACAGCAAGTGCATGAGTGACACAATACTGCGTGCAATGCGATTCGGGGAAGGGGATCCATGTACCGACATGGTTTTTCCAACGTTGATCGGGCCCTGAAGGAGCCAAGCTACTTGCGAACATGCACTCATGGCATCACTACCCGCGCTCAGCGCATCACTATCCTCGCGAAACATGCAAAGCGCTGCTTCCAAGAGCCTGTGCAGCGCAGCCACTAGCAAATATGTGCAATCAAAACCGGATGTCGCATAATGGCTTTGCCCTTATTGGCCGACCACGTCGGTGCATGGATTTCCGTTTTTTTCGATCGGGCGAACCGATGCACCGATGTGGTTTGGGGCCCTTGGGGACTTTTCGTGTTCAGGGCGACGGGACTGTCTGGGTCTGGCGGGGCTGCCTTGCTCCCCATGTACCGCGTGCGCGCGGTTTACGCAGGCGCGCCCCAGTCGCGGTTGTTGGGCGCCGCCCGGCCAGGGTTGATGGGTGCCGCTAATGCCATTTTTCATGGGCTCCCTACGTATCCTGCTCCTGCTTCTGGCGGAATTGGCCGCGACCACGCCGGTGGACAGAAACCTTCCGCCTAGCTATGGTAAACAGAACACATGCAATATGCAAGGGGCGATGGCCCCCTGACATCCTTCCTTTGTGAAGATATCACGACGGAGGCTGCTTCTTGCCATTGTCGGCCCCGACGTCGGCCTCTCGGGGCCTCACCGGGCCCCAGGACTGGCCAAGAATGTCTCAGGGCGAAACGTCGGTCCTGGGGCAGGGGTCCATACCTCCTGGGAGCCACGTGGCGAGCAGCATCGCGGCGGAGGTTGCCCGGGCCTCCCCTCCAGGGCCTCCCGGGAGTTCCAGCTGGAGGGGGCGAAGGATGGAGAACGCCTCGGCCCACGGTCGCAGCCTGCCCTCGGGGGCGTCCAGGGTGCGGGTGATGGCTAGCGCGGGGGGGGGGACCGCATGGCCAGGCCCAGGACATCGCCCCGGATCTCATGGCCCCCGCCTCTTCACGCCCCCCCTCTGCTCGCGAACCTGCCTCCCGTCACGAGTTGCGAGTCCCCTACGGGACCTCCTCCTCCCCCTCCTCCTTCTCCTCCTTCTCCTCCTCCTCCTCCTCCTTTCCTCCTCCTCCTCCTCATCCTTTCTTCTTCCTCCTTTCTCCTCCTCCTCCTTTCTTCCTCCTCCTTTCTTCCTCCTCCTCCTCCTTTCTTCCTCCTCCTCCTCCTCCTTTCTTCCTCCTCCTGTCTTCCTCCTCCTTTCTTCCTCCTCCTCCTCCTCCTCCTGTCTTCCTCCTCCTCCTTTCTTCTTCCTCCTCCTCCTCCTCCTTCCTTTTCTCCTCCTTTCTTCCTCCTCCTCCTTTTCTCCCTCCTCCTCCTTTCTTCCTCCTCCGTTCTTCCTCCTCCTCCTCCTCCTCTTCTTCCTCCTCCGTTCTTCCTCCTCCTCCTCCTCCTCCCTTTTCTTCCTCCTCCTTTCTGCCTCCTCCTACCCCTTTCTTCCTCCTCCTTTCTTCCTCCTCCTACTCCTTCCTTCCTCCTCCTTTCTTCCTCCCCTCCTCCTCCACCTCCTCCTCCTCCTCCTCTCCCCCCTCCCTCCTCCTCCTTCTCCTCCTCCCCCTCTCCCTCCTCCTCCTCCTCCTCCTCCTCCTCCTCCTCCTCCTCCTCCTCCTCCTCCTCCTCCTCCCTCGCGGGCGCTGCGGCCTGCTCGCCTCGGCCGGTGCTGCCCCGCTTCGGGCCCCCCCTGGGGCTGTCGCGGATCGGTGGGGCTCGAAGAAGGCTCGGAGGTGGATAGACCTCCTACCCTGACACATCGATCGAGGAATTGGCCGTTTTCGGTTCGCGAGGGGGCGTCGTGGCCGTCATTTTTGCGGGCCCAGGTCCGTCGGTTTCGGTCCCAGGCCGTTTTCACTAAGGGGAGGTTTACTAAAGGGAGGTTTGTCCACAGCCGAAAGGAAGCAGACGGATGGAGTTTTACGATGTTGCATTTTTTTGTTGTGGCGCTTTGAGGTTTTTTGCCATGTCGTTCACGGTCGAGGTTCTGTTTTTCGATGTTGCAGTTTTTTGTTGTGACGTCGACAACTGCAGAGTGCGCAACGACGGATGCTGAGAATAATGGTTGGTACACGGCGGCTCCCGGACGAATGTTGGATGGATTTTATCAGACGCTCTACTTGTGCAGCTTCAGATATTTCTCATAAGTTTCACGTGCGTGATTGGGTTGTTGATCTCCGAGATACCAAGAGGCGTCTCCGCGACAAGATGGAGTCGGCCTCAGATGGGCGTTGGGGCGCGCGGCTCCTGGAGTGGCACCCCTGGCACCACGTCTATGCCAAGCGGCACAGTGGAAGGCAGCGCAAACGCTGGCAAGACATCTGAGAGCACAAGTGAGCGAGGCACGCGGCCCGGCGTCATGCTGGGGCAGACTCGTCTGCCCTACGGGCCCTCTCTCTCTCTCTCTCTCTCTCGGTTGTGACGTTGGATCGCCGGGAGCGTCCAAAGATTGAGTGAGCTTGTTTGCTGTTCGGCCTTTTTGTTGGGGCCAGGCCTTTGGGGCCATGCGATACATGCCCGGGAAGGGCGGAAGCCGGCCTTCTGCTCAGACCCCAGGCGTCGTGACTTTTGTTCACCGCGTGGATCCCCGGAGGTCGGAACCTCTTCCCAGCAACCGGTCTTTCATCCTGAGCCGTCCTTCGATGGCCCCGAGGCCCGGCGAGGGCCCCTGGAGGCAGAAAGTTGAGCATCGCCCGTCGCGACCCCTCGTCATCGCCCGAGGGGTCGAGAGTTCCGGGGGGCCCGTGCCGGGCCGAGGCGCGACGTCCGAGGCTCCTGGGCTGGGGAGGGTCGGGCCGGATGACAAAGGGGGGCAATTGGGAAATGAGGTACGAAATCTGCTGCATGCAGCTGGTTGCGGCCTCGCCGCCGGGCCCATTCCTCGATGCATTGCCTCGGGACCATCGCAAATCGAGCCGGCTCCGAAAAGTGCCCTCGACAGTTGGGGTCCAGGGTTCCGGAGTTTTGTGTCTGTCTTGCATGTTTTTGCGCGCCGACGGATCTCACGGATCGCGGATCGGTCGCCGACGGCACCAGGGCCGGCAGCGGCGCTCCTGGAGAACGTCAGTCCGCCGGAGGCCTGGAGCCGGAGCAGGGTGCTCCGTAGCCATGTTTTGGCTCAAGCCGTCTTGGCGTTGTTGCATGTTCGATTGGTGTCGGTGGACAAGACAGGATGAACGCAGCGTTGTCCTCTTGCAGAGCAAGGTGGGAACAAGACATGGAGCGGATACGCAAAAGGATGGGCGCGCTTCTCCAGGGCGCTGGTGTTTCATATATCGCATTCGTCAATCGGCTACGTTATGACGAGATTGAGCATGTACAATTTTCACTTCAGAACGAGCTCTATTGTTTGAGGTCTCTGTTGACGTGTGGCCGAAAATGGATTGGAGCTTTTCTATTGTGCCATGCGGCGAGATGCAACGCTCTTGAAACAAGGCCAGGTCTTCTCGGTGTGAGGGAAATTTTGCGCTCAGGCGTCAATCCTTCTGCACGCTGTGATTTATTCTCAGAAGAGGGCGGCACGGCTTTGCATGTTGCTGTTGCGTGGACTCGACCGCAAGTTGCACATGAGTTGATCCAAGCTGCTGCCGATCCAGAGAGTGTGGATCCTACTGGAGATACTCCGTTGCTGAAGTGCGCTTTGAGCATTGCTCAATTGCCTGTCGTGCCACTACCATGCATGCCCACACACACGGACGTTTCGAACAGGGCAGTACTCGATGTAGTTGAGCTTCTGCTTGGGCACGGTGCCAGCATCAACCATCGCGGCTTTCGCAACGAAACCGCCCTCCTTCGCGCATGCTCAGAGTCCTTGCCGCAATTGGCAAAACTTTTACTCGGCGCTCAAGCAGACGTAAACCTTGTTGATGTATCTGGGCAGAGTCCTTTGCACCATGCTGCGGGAAGGGGCGATACGGACGATCTTGTCTGCTCACTCTTGCGAGCTAATGCTGGCATTGATGTTCATTGCCGGGATGGGTCTACACCCTTGGCTGTAGCGGTACGTAGATCACGACATGAGTGTGTGAACGCTCTTCTTGACGCGCGCGCATCTGTGCAGAAGGCGTGCTCTAGACTCTCTGGGAATTTGCTCCTAGTTGCGATGAAGCAATATGCGGAACATAAGGGTCAGCAGCAGCTGCTGATATTGAGCGCGTTGATGGGAGCAAGTGTTTTTTTTTTTCGAACAGTGTCGAGAAGACATGATGGAACTTGCAGCTGAACAAGCAGACACTGAGCTCTACGACTTCCTCGAATCGTGGCAAGACATGCCGAAACACAAGCGCCACCATAATGACAAACAGCACAATCATAATGACAATAAAGACAAGGAGGACAAGACGGACAAGAAAGACAAGAAGGACAAGAAGGACAAGAAAGACAAGGAGGACAAGGAGGACAAGAAAGACAAGAAGCACAAGCGCCACAAGAAGGACAACGGTGCCAGTTTCGTGTTGAGCGACTGACCTTAGCGCCGCGTGCATCTGTCATGGGAGGGTCGATATACCGAACTCCGACCGAGCAGAAGCCATAGACGGCCGCTTGGGGCTTGCTCGCTCGCGGCCCTCCCGTGGCCAGATCCCTCGCTTCTTGCACACGCACCGGGGCAATGCTGCCATACCCTTCTGCATGCGCATCGTCAGTAGTCAGTTTGGCTCAGAAGAGCCCCACAAAGGATGAAAACAAACATCGGTCGGGGGTTGTTGTGAAGGTGACCCCTGCCTAAGGTGTTCCCAGCGTTTCGCTTCATTCTGAAGCCCTCTGATTAGATGTTCATGTTGGGGACCTTGTGGCCCACCTAACGGATGTGCTCGACTCGAGTTCGATTGTCGTGACTTAAGTTCGAATCGAGTCGTCGGACGTTCGACGCAGCATCGATGCATGAGTGGAGCGAGCGGCTCCAGGAAGGTCCCAAGATTGAGTGCCTGACTCTGGGCCGCTCTGGGCCTCGTGATGGGATGTTACGGATGTCGCGGGGGCCTCTTTATTGGAACTCATGCGGAGAAACTTCGGGCCATGGGCCCCCTCCTCGAGATGCAACGCCACGGAAAATGGCAACATCGCAGACAAATTTTGATTGGAGCCCTGCACGCCAACTTGCTGCACTCTTCGACGCGGATCGATCCTCCCGGGCCCCGGGGTCTTCGAACAATCCAAATTCGCCCGTTGTGGACAAGAGATGCGACGCCAGGATCTCAGGGCCTGGCAGCACCCAGGAAGGGTCGTGGGCGAAAAACATGTCCGTATCCGTGGCCACGCGGGCCGAGCCCCTGTGCCGCGAACCCGCGGATACGTGGCGTTTTTTTTGTTCGCGGATGCCGAGCGCGTAACGTATCCGTGCGACCGCGCATCCGCGCGACCGCGCCCCGGAGCCCAGACCGCGAGGGCGCGGATGAGGATGTGTTCGCCGCTCGTGAGAGGTGCCTCCTCTCGCCCGCGAGGCTCCCTCGAACGCGTTCGTCGACTTCCGGCGCCGCAGCGCGGGCGCGGTCCCGTCCCGCCGCCGCCCGCGCACGCCCTCTCAGGGGCCACCCGGGGGGGGGGGGGGAAGCACGGACTGAGGGGGGGATTGAAACTCAGGGGGGGTTCGAGGTCTGAGGTTTTTGGGCGCCTGCACCGCTTCTTGGCCTCGTTCCAGCCTCGGGATGCCTCCGAGCGCCCGCGCCTCGCCGCAGGCGTTCCAGGGGGGCCCAGATCGTTCCGAACGGCCACCGAGAGCCAAAAGGCAACGCCTGGGGTGGGGGGGGGCCCCATGGGGGGAGGAGCATTGACTCTTAATTGACCGTTGAACGCCGACGGGGGCCCCGCAGCCCACCCGGCCCAGGGCCGTGCAGTCTCGCTATCGGGGGCCCCTTGCCGAGCCACTGCTGCATCGCCGAGCCCAGCTCGACGCGTCTCCCCCCCGAGCCCGTTGCCCTGGGCGCTCGAGCCGTGCAGCGAGGCTGGGTGGCGCGGGGGGGGGGGGGGGGTCCCGGGGGGGGGGGGGGGGCGAGGGGGCGGCGCGGCCTGCCAGAAGATGGCAGCGGCAGAGGGGCCTCTCGGAAGGCTCGCCGATCGCTCCCCGAGCTGGATTGGCCTTCTCCGCTCGCCCTCTCCGAGGGGGGGGCGCCGGGCGGCCAAGCCGCGCGGCGGGGCTCGGTGGCGCGCAGGAGGGCCCCAAGGGCGGTGGGCGAGGGGGGGGGGAGTGCGGCCTTCCAAGAGGCCTGGAGGGGGCCTCTCGGAAAGGGGGAAGGGAAGGGGGGGCCCTCTAAGGGGGCGGTGGGCCTCTTGCAGGTGCCCCTCCCTGCAAGCAGGCCCCACTTGCATGCCTCCTCGGGGGACTGCCCCGCCGCCCCGCCGCCCTCGGCGCGCCGCCGAGACACCGCGGTGCCCGTGGTCGCAGGGCCTCGCAGCAGCAGGCAGGCCCACATCGGCCCCCGGCAGGGCCCCGCCAGACGGGCAATGGGGAGTCGTTGTGGTGGCGTGGTTGGCGTTGATCTGTTCTGCTGTGGTCTGTGTGCTCGTCTTCGTGCCACCTATGTGGCCACGTGTTGTACACTTACTCACGCCAGCCCATCCAGAAACTAATCGCACGCTGCCTGTGCGAGGAACTAGTCGTGGGAAGGGGGAGCGAAAGTAAAGCAAAGAAGGAGACACGCTTGTTAAACCACGGGCTGGATCACTCCAAGACGGATGGCCTACTTAGGTCTACCTGGGAGTCTTCCATTATGAAGGCCCCCCTCTTAGTGCAATACTGGTGGCCATCGACAAGCATGTGATAGGCATTATGTCGCGTCCCCTTGTAGGATCTTGAGTGACAATTCTTGACGCTTCGCGTATCCCCCCACCAGTCGGGTGCTGGCGCCACTGTGCGACGCCCCGCTGTCCGTCGTCGGCTGAATTTGCTTGGCATGCTTGCATGTGCGGTCGGCTGTCGACAGTGACGGCTGGGTTCGCAAATTATCTGGCTCTGTGCCCCAGTCAGCCCGACTGACCCGCCCTCTGGAGCCTTCTCTGGGGCCGCAGATCAAAAAAGTATCCCCCCACCAGCCGCGCTGAGTGGCTCAGCCTTCCGCGCCTTCGGCCCCTTGTTTTCCACCGCCAGCAGCCTGTTACCCGGGTTCGCGCATCGTTGCTAGCCGGGTCGGCTGCTCGGAGCTTGGCGCCGCAAGGGACTCACCCCGTTGCACTCGCACCCGTGGCCGCTTGTACACTTTGGTTTACTGGGCGGCGCCTATGTGCGTCTGCTGGTGAATGCTGAGCATTTTGTTCAGTGCATGTGCAACTGCACGCTCTGAGTGCAATTAGCTTTGTGCCGCCCGCCCCGGACATTGCCTCTCGCCGCCAGACCGTCGTCGCGCGGCCGCCGACCAAAAAAAATATCCCCACCAGCAAGCACCCCCTCCGTGAGCGCCGCGCGGCCAGTCCCGGCTAGCCTCACCTCCCCATTTTCTCTTGTTGTTTTTTTGTTCCCCTCTCTCTCTCTGTGTCTCTCTCGTGTGCAATTTCGGCTCCTGCTTGTTAGCTGTAGCTTTGGACGGCGCGCGGCCCTTCCGTTTGCGCTCGCGAACAAAAAAGTACCCCCACCAGCCCATCCAGAAACGATGCCCAGGCGAGTTGTCTCAATCAGGGAAGCGGAGGAGCATGCAGTGGATCAAGGCTTGCGGAAGCCGTCAAATTGAAGTCTTGGATCAGCATGCGCAGACACAGGAGCGAACCGTATGCGCCTTCGCGGACCTGCCGAATGAGGAAAGGCGGGGAAGAAGGACGAGGGGGACGAGGGAGAGGAGGAGGAGGAGGAAGAGGAGGAGGAAGAGAAGGAGGAGGATAAAGTGGATGGGGGACGAGGAGAGGAGGGGGAGAACTAGGCGGATGAAGAGGAGGATGAGGAGGAGGAGGAGGAGGAGGAGGAGGAAGAGGAGGAGGACAATGGCGAGCTTTGAGGATTCTTGGGGCGTCTTGGGGTCTCTTGGCGGTCACGGGAGCCTCTTGGGAGCCCCTTGGGGCCTTTAGGGGGTCTCTTGGGAGCACCTTCGAGGCCTTGTGGGCGCCTCTTGGGGCCTCCTTGGCGTCTGGTTGTGCCCTCTTGGGGCGCGCGTGGGAGGCATGGGGACGCATTTGGAGCCATCTTGAAGGACATCGGCAAACAAGGGAGGACCTTAAATTGTTGACGCTTCGCGAATCCCCACCAGCCCATCCACAAACGATGCCCAGAGGAATTGCCTCGATCAGGGAGGTGGGCAGCACACAGAGGAAGCCAGATATGAGACATCTAGGGATATCTTGAGCCATCTTGGAGGTCATTGTGGGCTCTCCCAGGCGCTCTTGGAGTCATCTTAATCAGTGCCCTCCCCAAGAGGCCAACATGTGGCTAAAACCTTGTAGAATCAAGGGTTTGGCATTCTCACCGAGGCCTCTTGGAGCATCTTGGGTGCCTCTGGGGGGTCTCTTGGGGCCTCTTGGGGGTCTCTTGGGGGCCTCCTGGGGGCCTCTTGGGGGCCTCTTGGGGCCATCTTGGAGCCATCTTGTGACCTCTTGGGGCCTCCTGGGTGATTCTTTAGGCCACCTTGGAGGAGGTCGATCACAGGAGGGGGGGGGTACGAATTACAGTCGGCCCCCCAGGAGGCCAACATGGGGCCAAAACCATAGTAAACTCAATGATTTCGGCTTCCTCGCCGAGGCCGTTTGGGACGCTCCGACGACTCGTGGAAGAGGCAACTCCTTCTCAACCACCGACGCCCAGAGGGCTGGTGGGATTAGCCTTGCCCCCCGAGAGTGCCTACAATCGTCTCTTGGACCCTTCTCTTGGAGCGCTCTTGGGGCGCTCTTGGGCGCCCCTGGGGCCGTCATGGGGCTCTCTCAGGCATCGGTTGGGGCTTCCTGGAGCTCTCTTGGAACTGTCTTGCGGCCTCGGAAGGTCATCGAAAGCAACATGGCCTCTTGGCGGCCTCCGTGAGACGCTCCGTGGCCACTTGGAACCGTCTTGGAACCGTCTTGGGGCCTCTTGGAGCATCTCGGGAGCCATCTTGAGGCATTTTGTGTGTTGTCTTGCGCCATCTTGGAGGTCATCTCAGGCTCTCTGAAGTCCTCTTGGATCCGTCTTGGGCCATCTTAGATGCTCTGATCGCTCGCGGGACGCCCCGTCCAGGTCCAGTGGAAGCGGGGTAGAGGGAGGGGTCAAGACACCCCATAGATAGCAAGCCGTCTCATTCCCACCCGCCCTCCCAACACGTAAGTAATCTCGAGCCTCAGCATGTTCAGCGGTGGTTTTTAGATGCACAGCTACTGGGGGCCACGCTGGGGCGAGGTGCGCCACGCGTGCCAGGCGCGCCACGCGCGCCAGGCACCCCTGGTGCGCTAGATGCGGCACGTGTTCCGCGTGCGCCAGGTGTGCCGCATACTCCAGCCGTGCCAGGTGCGCCACGTTCGGGGCACGTGCAGGGTGTGTCAAGTATGCCTGCGAACGTGATAGCACACATCGGGAAACATGTCGGCCCCCACCATCCTTGCCGAAAAGCAATGCCCATCATTGTGTATGGTGGGCCTGCGCACAGCAGGCCGTACGCCACCACCCCCGCCGTCCCTGCCAAAAACCACTTGACAGTGATCGTGGGGCGGTCGCGCATGATTCAGATTTAGCCGCGAGGTGCATGCTGTTCCGTTTTTCGGTAGGGACGGGAGCCCCGCGCACACCAGCCACAATGCTGACACCCCCACCGTCCCTGTCAAGAACAATTCAAAGTGCCCGCGGGCCTCACGAACATGACTCAAGATTTTGCCCCAAAGTGTACTCTGCATTTTTTGGAACGGGATTGTGGGGGGGGGCCGCATCGGGTTGGCCGCGCATGGTCCACATGTGGAGGCAGAGTGCGTTTTGTATTGTTTTTGACAGGGATGGTGGGGGGGGTGAGCATGGTTCCTGGTTGGCTGCCGGTCGCCTGGGGGAGAGGGTGTATATTAATGGGGACAGTGATGAACTTCTCCCCGAAGGGGAAGAAGGGGGTTGGAAAAGAAGCCTCCCTAGACCACCTACGCCCAGAAGGCTGGTGGGATTGCCTGAGCCTTTCGTAGGATTCTGCCAGGGCGTGCTTGGATGCTTTGGGGGCCCTTCTGGACACCACTTGGGCCCTCGTGGGCCATGTTGAGGGCCCTCAAGGCCGCTTGACCCCTTGCGAACTACCCCCTCTCGCTGCCAAGCAATGCTTTCAATGGCGCTCCTCACCCCCAAGGAGATCCCCTTCGAAATTCTTGACTTTTCGCGTATTCCCACCAGCTGCTGTCGGACGGCAGGTTCGGGCCAGACTCGCACCGCACGAGCACCTACACTGCTATGTGCGACATCTGCCCCCCGGGGTCGCCACTGTGGGCGGCAGGCAGCCCCGCGCTCGGCTGCTTCATGCGGCGCCCGGAACCCGGGGCACCGCGCAACGAGCAGACAGGGCTCCCGCCATGGGACTTGATGCCCACGCCCTGGACACAGCAGCAATGGAATGCAGGTTGGGCCTGCAGGAGATG